CTCTCCGCCCGCGCTGTTCCCTGCGTCTTCCTTGGCTTTCCCCCTGACGCGCATGGCTGGCAGTTTTACCATCCCACCTCGCGCCGTGTCTTCCCTTCTCAGGACGTCACGTTTGACGAGTCGGTTCCCTTTTACCGTCTCTTCCCCTACCACTCTGCCCCTCCCCCAACCCCGCCGCTCTTCCTTGCTCCAGGTCCCCCTCCGGTAGACCCCCTCCCCCCCCAGGGTCCTGCCACCTATGGTGTGTCTCACGTAGACCCTCTCCCTTGTAGTGTGCCTGTTGAGGTAGCTGTCGGCTCAGGTGCTGCTCGAGGTGATGCGTCTGGGGGTGTTGCGTGTGGGGGTGCGGAGCCTGGGGGTGCTGAGTCTGAGGGTGCGGGGTCTAGGGGTGCTGAGCTTGAGGGTGTGGAGCCTGGGGGTGCTGAGCCTGAGGATGTGGAGCCTGGGGGTGCTGAGTTTGAGGGTGCGGAGTCTGGGGGTGCCGAGCCTCAGGGTACTGCTTCTTCTAGAGGTCCTGCGGGTGTTTCGCCACGTCTGTCTCCCCGGCCGGAGCCTCTCTCCCCACAGCAGCTGCGCGAGTGGTTTGCACCCGCCTTCGGAGTGGAGCTGCTGGAGCTGGAGTCTCTGCCGCTGGTGCCACTTGAGTTGGAGGTGTTGGAGTTTCTGCTGGAGCTGGTGGTACCGGAGGTGCTGCAGCTGCAGGTCCTGGAGGTGATCGTACCGGGGGTACTGGAGCTGCCGGGACTGGTAGTGTTGGGGGCGCTGGAGCTGGAGGAGCTGGAGCTGGTGACAAAAGAGCTGTTCGCGCTGGAGCTGGAGGCTCTGGCGCTGGTGGCGCTGGCGCTAGAGCAGCTGGAGCTGGAGACACTGGGAGTGTTGACCCTGTAGTTGGAGGTGCCGGAGCTGGGGGTGCTGTGTTTGGCGGTACTGGTGCTGGAGGCACTGTGCGGCCGCGACCGTACTTCGTTCCCCTACTTCAGCAGGTTCTTGGTCTCCCGTCTTCTACTGGCCTTACTCCTCCCTTTGTGTCCACCGCCTGACCAGTCACAGCCGCTGTTACAGCCAGCCTCCCCAGTGCCTGCTCCTTCTCCTTACACTGAGCAGACTGGAGATCTTACAGAGCGTCGTGAGCATGAGTCTCGTCCTGCCTCGCCTGTTCAAGTTGTTCACACTGGTTGTAGGGTTCCTCATCCGCGTCCTCCTCCTGTCCCCGGCACCCACGTTATGGCACTTCGTCCTTCCTCTGTTCCACTACAATTTCCTCTGTCGCCTCTTCCTGAGTCCTCTCTTCCTGCCGTCCCTGACCCTGAGTCTGACCTTGTGCGTGCTGCCAGACCCACTGTCTCTCGTCTCCTCGCCACTGTTGTCACTGACCCTTCTTTTGAGTCCACTGCTGCGTCTGCCCTCGTTGCTGAGCTGCTCGACTTTACTGCTGCCTGTCGTCTAGACTACGCCACTACTCTTGTTGCAGAGTTTGAGTCTGCCAGTCCTCCGTCCGTCGGGGGTGAGTGTGCTCTTGGCACGGACGTCCTTGAGGACAGGCAGGAGGACTTTGAGTGCATTGCAGTTGCTGTACCTCGTTTCGCTTCCATGCTGCTTGCCCCTGAGGGAGACCCAGATGCACCAGACATCCCGACCCCGCGCTCCTACGCAGAGGCGATTACGGGTCCTTACTCCTCTCAGTGGCAGGCAGCCATGGACGCCGAGATGGCATCCTGGAAGTCCACAGGCACCTACGTCGACGCAGCTCCCTCTTCTGGGGCGAGTATAGTCGATGGCATGTGGATTTTCAGGGTGAAGCGGCCGCCGGGTTCTCCGTCTGCCTTCAAGGCGCGTTACGTTGCTAGAGGCTTCAGACAGCGACGGGGAGTCGACTAATTCCAGACCTTCTCCCCCACCCCGAAGATGACCACTCTTTGGGTGTTGCTGCACATCGCTGCTCACCGTGACTACGAGTTGCACTCTCTGGACTTCAGCACAGCTTTCTTGTAGGGCAGCCTGCACGAGGAGATCTGGTTGCGCCGCCCTTCTGGCTTCACTGGGTCGTTTCCTGCAGGTACCCAGTGGAGCCTCCGGCGGCCAGTCTACGGTCTCCGCCAGGTGCCTCGCGAGTGGCACGACACACTGAGGACGACACTTGCGGCTCTGGGGTTTACTCCTTCAACTGCTGACCAGTCGCTGTTTCTAAGCACCGACACGTCGCTGCCGTCGTTCTACGTCCTCGTGTACGTCGACGACATGGTCTTTGCCACTGCTGACACTGAGGCACTTACCCTTGTGAAGTCGGAGCTGCAGAAGAGACACACCTGCACTGACCTGTTTGAACTGCGCAGCTATCTTGGCTTGGAGATCACTCGGGATAGAGCACGGCGCACAATCATCCTCATTCAGTCACACATGGTGCACCAGGTCCTTCAGCGCTTCGCCTTCCAGTTCTCCTCGCCACAGCCCACTCCTCTGTCTACTGGCCAATCGCTCTCAGCTCCACCTTCGGACAAGTCCGTAGAGCCGAGTGGTCCGTACCCAGAGCTTGTGGGTTGCCTCATGTACCTGATGACGTGCACACGACCTGACCTCGCGAACCCTCTCAGCCTCCTAGCTCGCTACGTGGCTCCCGATAGGCACCGAAAGGTGCACTGGGATGCTGCGAAGAGGGTACTGCGTTACTTGTGCAGTAAATCAGGCATGGGGCTCGTGCTTGGAGGACGGGGTCCAGTTTTCCTCACTGGTCACGCAGACGCTTCTTGGGTTGACGACTCAGCTACGCAGCAGTCGTCACAGGGTTACACCTTCAGCCTCGGTTCCGGCTCTGTTTCCTGGCGGTGTACCCGCTCGTCTTTGGTTCTCAGCTCCAGTTGTGAGGCTGAGATCTACGCAGGGGCCATGGCTGCACAGGAGCTACGCTGGATCACCTACCTGCTGACTGACTTGGGAAAGCAGCCTCGTTCGCCTCCAGTTCTGTACGTAGACAACAAGGCCATGATTGCCTTGTGTCAGGAGCACAGACTGGAGCACTGAACGAAGCACATCGCTCTGCGATACTTCCTTGCTAGAGAGTTGCAGCAGCGTGGCCAGCTTCGTCTTGCGTACGTGGCCACTAGGGCCAACACTGCTGATATATTCACCAAGGCACTTCCGCCTGGCACAACAGCGCTTCTCTACTATGTTAGGCCATGTGCCTACTTTGCCTCACTTGCTCACTGCATGACTTTGCTTGAACTGTGATAAACATATATACCTACATGCTTACACTTGCTAGGATATGATCACTGTATTGTTTGTTCTCTTTTATAGAACTCTGCATGTGAACTGGCCTTGTGGCCCTTTGCTTGTGCTCAGACTGTGTGGTGACTTTGTGATCCACCCTGAGCTTGCTTTGCTTTTCTTGACTGGTCTTGTGACCACTTGTTCTCCCCCACTTTGCCTATGGGGGTGTGTCAAAATGATATAGTGCTTACATTTGTGTAGGCTATAGTGGGGGTAGCCCATAAGGGGTACAACCCAATTAGGGTTAGTACTTGTACCCAAGTTTTTCATAGTTCATTCATTCTCGTTCATTCTGACAGAAACCTGTGGCAGCAGTTTGGCACGCGACTACAGTTTAGTTCTTCGTACCACCCCGAAACCGACGGACAGACAGAACGGACAAACCAAACCATGGAGCAACTCATCCGAGCCAAGTGCGACGATCCGACCACCTGGGAACAGCAACTGCCACACATCAAATTCGTGTACAACAACTCGCCATCCTCCACGACCCAACAGTCACCATTTTACCTGAACTACGGACAAGACCCTACAGTACCCATGATCCCGAATCCTGACAACCCAGTACCACGCGCGCAACAGTTCGCAGAGATCTTACAAGCAGCACGGACCCGGGTGGCCGACGCAATTAAAAAGGCCAACATTATCGCTAAACGCAACGCCGACCGCCACCGCAAACCTGTCACTTACCAGCCCGACGACCTAGTTTTACTCGACACCCAAAACCCCCGCCTGCCCATCACCCCGAAACTCCGCCCCCGATATTGCGGGCCATTTCGCATCAGCCACATAATCACACCCGTCACCGCCCACCTCCTCCTCCCTGCTGACTGTTACGTGAGTCCGTCCTTCCATGTCAGCCTGCTTCGCCCTTACGTACCATCCACCAGCCAGCTGCCCCGCAACTGCCCAGCCAGCATGACACGACCGCCGACAGAACCAATCATCACGCCTGAAAAGATTTTGAGCCACCGAGTTTGTGACCTACGGGGAGCTCGAAGGATCGAATTTCTGATCCGCCGGAAAGACCGTACGCTCACTGAAGACAACTGGGTTCCCCTGGACAGAGTTGAAAACCACCCCGTCCTCACTGAGTATCTGCGCAGCCAAAATTTCCGGGATGTACACGCGCTTTCGTAAGGAGGGCCTCCTTAGGGGGGGTGGGGGTAGTGTAAGGAAAATTCCTTTTCTTTACTTAGCGTCCCTGCTCAGCGCGTACACCACTGTTTCCCGCCAACAGCAACCAACAGTAATCCGTTACCACTCGCGACACTCGCCTTGACACTGTTCCCGCCGCTGATCACGACGCGACCCAACCTCACGGTTCAGTTGGTAACCCGCGCTCCGGACCTCCGCCTCGACAACTCCCAACCTCAGCGCTAGGCCCGTCGCGCACCCCATTTTCCACACATTACCGTTACCACTGTAGTTTCGCTATATATTCTTCGCTCATACCTTCGCTCATTGTACTCTTGCTTCGATAGTGCAATTCTCGCTCGCGCACTCAATTGCACTCGTAACACGCGGCAATTGCCGTGTGTCATGATCTACACCACTTTCAGAGTTTTAGGTTATGTTGACATTCTATTATACATGCTTAAAACTGGGCTCAGAAGCAAGTGATTTATTTGCATGGGGGTACGAAGTCGTCAAACGAATGGGTACATTGTCAAGACACTGATAGGACCGAAACCTACGTATACTTCCATCGTGTTTTTTACACCTGCACTGCGTTACTTCCGTGTTGGCAATGTCTGCTGTGCTGCTGCGAGCTGCTGAAGCATCTGTGGATTCGGCTGGTAGTGCTTCACACCAGGTTGCACCCCATACTGCTGCTGTGGCTGTCCTGCCATCTGTCCTCCAACAACTGGCTGTTGCTGCTGCAGCTGATACTGACCCATGCCTTGCATCTGCAATTGTGGTTGCGGTTGTGACTGTACCAAACCCTGCGGAGCTCCCATTGCTCGGCTCTGCCCTTGTGATTGCGGCATCACGCCCGGCTGCTGGCTTATTTGTTGAATCGCTTGCTGGCCTCCGGGTTGGCTCATATTCCCCACAGCATTCTGCATCTGCAGAGTCTGACCTGGTCTTTGAGACGGCTGAGGAGCTTGGGGCGCTTGGCGTTGGGGTGCTGGTTGTGCCACTCCACCGCCTTGCTGCTGCACCTGCCCTTGCTGCATCACCTGCGCCTGCCCCTGCCCCTGCACCTTCAGCCCTTGCATCTGCTGCTGCACCTGCTGCACCTGCTGCACCTGCTGCTGCACCTGCTGCACCTGCTGCTGCCCTTGAATTTGCTGGTACCCTTGCTGCTGCTGTGGCAACGGCACCTGCCCCTGCTGCTGCTGCTGCTGCTGCTGCTGTGGCTGCCCCTGCCCCTGCTGCCCCTGCTGCTGTGGCGTCCCCTGCTGGTTCGGCCCTGCTTTCGCCCCTCGGCGCATGGGCGGTTGAGCCAGCACCACGTTCCGACCTCTCGACAACCCAGCAGTCGGCATCTGCAGCACCATCCCCGCCACCGGCACTTGCGGTGCTGCCCTCTGCGGCTCACCCTGCCCTGCCGCCCCTGCTACTGCTGCTTGACCTTGCTGCCCCTGCGCCTGCCCCTGCTGAGATGGTTGCCTCTGCTGCACTTGTGCGTTTTGAGACCCAGCTACCCTCCCCTGTTGCTGCTGAAGCTGCTGCTGCTGCCCCCCTTGCCCTGTCCCCTGCCCAGCTCCCGGCCCTGGCCTCACCCCTTGCCCTCCCTGCCCAGCCCCCTGGCTCGGGTGCAGCTGCGGCGGCAACCGAGGCTGCTGCGGAGGCTGGGCAGGCTGGGGCGGCAGCAGCTGCTTCAGGTCCGTCCACTTGTGATCCCCCACCAGAAGCTGACAAAACGGATGCTCCAGCAACTCAGCCGCACTCTTCCTCTTTTTCGGCTCCTTCTGCAAGCAGCACCGGATAAAATCCTGAAATTCCGGCGAGCAGCTGCTCGGAGCCTCGGGCGGCTCGTTGAAAACAATCGCGCCGAAAAGCGTCATCCAATCGGCCGACTGCCCGGCCTGCGCGTACGGAAACCGGCCAATCACGAGCTCAAGGAGAGAGAGGCCCATGGACCAGACGTCTGAGAGGTAGCCGTCGTAGCCCTCTCCTGGCGGCGGGTTGATGCGCTCGGGGGAGAGGTAGGCGGAGGTGCCGACATACGAGTTGCACTGTGCGAGGGTGGATGCTAACTCCTTGCTCACCCCGAAATCAGCTATCTTCACCTATCAGAAAAAAGCGGGGAAGCAGGGGTGGGAAACCAGAGGCGGAGAGGAGGGAGTGAGTGAGGAGGGGTAAGAGGAGCTCGAGGAGCGAGAGGCCCATGGACCAGACGTCTGAGAGGTAGCCGTCGTAGCCCTCTCCTGGCGGCGGGTTGATGCGCTCGGGGGAGAGGTAAGCGGAGGTGCCAACATAGGAGTTACACTGGGCTAGCGTGGACGCCAGCTCCTTGCTCCCCCCGAAATCAGCAATTTTCACCTGCGGATAGATTAGGGGGAGAGAAGAGAACAGACGTCAGAGTGAGGGTTGCTGCGCTCGGGGGAGAGGTATGCGGAGGTGCCGACATATGAATTGCACTGGGCTAGCGTGGACGCCAGCTCCTTGCTCCCCCCGGAATCAGCAATCTTCACCTGCGAGAAGAGGGGGGGAACGAGGATCAAGAAGCCAGAGGGTGTTTTGAGTCGACTCACAACACGGAGGTGCCGACATACGAGTTGCACTGGGCGAGGGTGGACGCCAGCTCCTTGCTCACCCCGAAATCAGCTATCTTCACCTGCGAGAAGAGGGAGGGGTGTGGGGGGGAGAGGGGGTTGGTTGGGGATAGGGGGAAGAGGGCATAGACAGGAGAATGATTATGAGTTGTGAGGCACTTTGAATCCCAGCTCTCGCTCACCCCCATATTAGCAATCTTCACCTGCGAAAACGGGGGGAGGTTAGAGCAATGGAGGGAAACTTAGACGGTTTCTTGAGCCGCCTGTGGTAACCAAGTACGGAAGCATATGCAGTGGAAGAGGGGCTCCATCTGTCGATTTTTTTGGCGCCTAAAAAATAGGTTCTTGAGCCGCCTGTGGTAACCAAGTAAAGAAGGATAAGCAGTGGAAGAGGCTCCATCTGTCGCCTCTGCCAATCACACGTTTTGACTGAAATTAAGTTGACTTAGAAATCCGAATGAGCTTGACTTGCGTTGACTGGCGTTGACTGGCAGGGCTGACTGACCTGGCCTTGCCGGTTGAAGAGCAGGTTGGAGGGCTTGATGTCACGATGCACCACGTGCTGCCGGTGCAGGTACAGCAGCCCCTGCAGGCATTGCTTGACCTGTGTTGACTGGCGTTGACCTGCGTTGACTGGCGTTGACTGGCGGGGTTGACCTACCTGGCCCTGGCGGTTGAAGAGCAGGTTGGAGGGCTTGATGTCACGATGAACCACGTGTTGCCGGTGCAGGTACAGCAGCCCCTGCAGGCACTGCCGCGTCACATCTGCCCCTCACTCACCCACTCCTTGACTGGCGTTGACCTGCGTTGACTGGCAGGGCTGACTGACCTGGCCTTGCCGGTTGAAGAGCAGGTTGGAGGGCTTGATGTCACGATGCACCACGTGCTGCCGGTGCAGGTACAGCAGCCCTTGCAGGCACTGCCGTGTCACCTCCGGCATAAACGACTCCGGAATCTTGCCCTGCTTTCAAGCAGAAATATGGAAAAAAAAAAAAAAAAAAAAAAAAAAAAAAAAAAAAAAAAAAAAAACCCAGGTGAATGGAAAGGCGTGCATAGTTATGGCACTGGCTTTGTAACACACTCTTGAGTAATCGAGAATTTCGGCAGCGCAAACATGCACTTTATTTCGGATACTTGTAGAGTGTTTACGCGCACCACAGGCACATTTATTTGCACGGCGCACGCTACTCCAGTTACAAAGATACTCTGTTTTTTGTACGAGCTATGCTAACCTAGTTTTAAAGGGAATGGAAAATCTTGGCCTTAATCTCCTCGGGGTGATTCTCATCTCATCTTTTTCCTTTCAAACTTCCCTTCGTTTGACTCACCCTCTTCTTAGTCACATCCGCCAGAGTGCCACCATCCATGAGCTCCAGAACAAACGAGATCTCCCCCAGGTGGTCAAAGATGCCGTAACACTCCACCACCTGGCGAGATGGGGAAAGGGAAGAGGGGGGAAGGGGTGTTCAGAGTTGACCCAGAACAACACACTCAGAGTGCTTCCATCCATGAGCTCCAGAACAAACGAGATCTCCCCCAGGTGGTCAAAGATGCCGTAACACTCCACCACCTGGCGAGATGGGAAGAGAGGAGGGGGAGGGATACGTGTGATTCAAGACGAACGAGATCTCCCCCAGGTGGTCAAAGATGCCATAGCACTCCACACCTGGAAGGAGAGAGGAGGGGAGGGGAGAGGAGAATATGGAACTCCTCATGCGTCTCAAAAAGTATAATCCTGAGGAGCATTAAAACGTGGACATGTGCCCATGGGAACGTGAATGAAGAGAAGGGAGTGGTCATTCCCATCCCAAGACGAAGGCGAGAGGAATGACTATGGGAACGGGGGGGATGAAATGACGGTGCGGCGCATGCGATCCTAAGCTGTAAGATTGCGGTGTGTGAATTAGGATTCCATTACAGCCTGAAGCATTCAGCTGTTGCAATGGCTAGGTGGGACTACGAAATACTCATTCACACATCCTAGCATAGCTATCCAATCATAGGCTTAGACATCACACTCACATAGTAAATTTTCATTGTGAAATGATTCCAAGCACATCATGACGTGGCCGAAGGAAGGAATATATAACTTCCCCCTTCGCCCACTCCCATTTCCCCCTTTTCAAGCAACACTCTCATGGTCGGGTCGGATCACGCACACCTTAGAATTAGCATTTCCCGAATGATTTGCTCCCGCACTCCACACGCAACCCATGATCTACCCTTGGTTGCTACCCGTGATTGCTACATCATCCCACGTTATCCTGGCACCTTCATCCCAAGCAGCAGTCAGCACACTCACATGGTCGGATCGTGCGCGCCGTAGGATCTGCATCTCCTGGATGATCTGCTTCCGCACCTCCTCGTCGTACTTCTCCTGAATCACCTTTAGCGCGTACTCCTGCCATCCACCACAGTCGGCAAAGCCAAAAAAATAAAAAAACAATTCAACAAATTAAGTTTTTGTTGTTTTTTCAGGGCGAATCTTCCAATCTGCCATAGGATCCGTGCCTTGACATCAGCGAAACGGGAAATGAAGAAAAGGAATGGAGTCGCGGCGACACCAGCAAATAAAACCAGCCGACCAGAAAATAAAACCCACCTTGCCCGATTTCTTATGCCGAACGCGGTACACGCGACCCCCGCTTCCAAACCCTAACGGCGGCAAGATTCTCTCCAAGTCTTCCAGAGCCACATCTTCGCGCGGCGTGAACACCATCATCGGCGCTTTCACCGCGTTTCCCGCCCCCGCGACGCCTAACGCGGCTCCACCAGCAGCACCAGAACCAGTTCCCAATGCGCCGCCTGCTCCGCCTCCTGGTCCGCCGTTGATCGCGGCGACGGGGACGGGCTGGACGCTAGTGGGTGCACCTTTCGCGGCGGCTGCGCCGGCTGGAGGCATGGGGAGGGCTTGCGGGACGGGGAGAGGCAGAGGCTGGGGCCGAGCCGCGTTGGTGGTCCGAGCCGGCACGCCGATTCGGAGGCCGAGTCCTCTGCCCCTTCCTCCTCGTGAGGCCATGGTGATCGAGAAGGAATAAATACCGCTATTGGACGGTTTCTGCGTTCAGTGAAGTGGTGTTCTGTGGAATGGTGTACGGTGGAGCGGTATTATGTGGTGTGATGATATCTAGGTGGCTAGAGCAATGCGAAGGCTAGCAGGGGTGGCAAATGAAATGGTGAACGCGATGTTAAATGAGTAAGTGCAACGCGATGGCGTGGCGTGGAAGAGGCAGGGAAACTGATGGACAGGATCAATCCGTGCTTCACAAAACTGATGGGCTACAACGCGAAATGGGAATTTAGCAGCCTGAAGTCGGAATCTATTCGCCAGCTCGGACAAAGGAGATATTTGAAGGTAAGACGGAGTTCGGCTGGGGAAACCTCATCAGCAACCAGGAGCGAAAGCGCGATGTGTGAATTCAAATACTAAATAAGGCTTGGCATTTGGGATGTCCTCTAAATAACCTGTCCCCTAGGAATTGGTTACCTCCTTTCTCGGGTGATCGGGTTTGGTGGAAAACTGTACTAATCTCTAGGCTGATTTCACGTTCTTCTAGCTGCCCGTTTATAATGAAAAGGGGAGACGGCACAAACTCTCTACAATAACTGCTTCATAAGTTCTTGATAAAAAGTGCTCTCAGTTTTGCCTTTGCCATTATTTGGTAGAACAGAACAGAGTGGTTGTTTTTATTGAGAAATGATTATGGTTCTCACATAAAGTATTTCGGAGATGTGCGATTGGGCATATGGTCCACAGGCACCGCCCACACTTCAGTGGCCCCACCCCCGTTGTTCAACATACCCACCGAACTCAATTTCGCGGTTTCCCTTCCATCCCTGCCCGGAAAACGTTCGCGTCGCCACCTCGAACCCAGTCTGGCAGACTGGAGGGAATCTGAAGGGGCAGACGAAGGGAATGGCGAATCCGTTCTCCAACCGAAGGCATCCAGCACTAGTGGTGGCACTAGCGGGCGTTACGTTCTGCTGTTGCAATTCTTGGGATTTCCGACAAACCCAGGGAAGATCATGTGGGTGGATCACCTTGTCGTTTTGTTCTGGGAGAGTGGTATGAGCTGATACGCTTTACAAGCTGCGCTCGTAAATATATTAAATCTGGATAGATCTTCCCTATGCCGCTGGGTTATGTGCACGGGATTTATCAACATTAGCTTCACAAATATGTGCGAAAAATAGTGCCCGTACTGATTTCCTTATGTATATTTATCAACTCATGTATCACATAAATTAGTCAATCTTGATTACGCATACGTTTCCTGGTTATTCCCTGAGAGTAAGGAAATGCGGAACAGTCACTTTTCGGTCAGTCACGTCAGCTTGCGTCTGTACGATTAGGGAAGCTGTTGTTACAGGGGAACCGCATGTGCGGCGGATGAAGCCGCGCATCCTTTGACATTCATCAACAACCACTGAACTCAGCCATTGCTTACCACAAGTGGTCCAAGCATAGTTTGCCTTTGCACAAGGGACCAGTCCCTCAGCTTCTTAGGGAATGGAGCATTGCCTTTCATCTCTGAGACCGGCCTCGGCTCCCGCTTTCCTGTCCTTGCCGTCAACATTTCCGTCCACGGTACCTCTCGAACGGCCCCCTCCGTTCCTATATCACCCTCAGCCTCATGGCCGGAGCGCAAACATTATATTCTCTACCGGCTCTCTCACAGCTGGCGCTTCCAGGACGGCAGCGACAGGAGGTGCATTCAACAAGTGGCAACGAGCGGCTAAGCGGCGAGTCGCAGTCAAACGATCAAATACGTCCGCCGCTGGTTATGCCAGGTCATGTCAACCAATCAGAAGGGTTTCCGCTGCTGCTACGGCTGTAGCATTAGTAGCCGCTTCAGGAAGAAAATTCGTCTCCGCAGCTGCTACGCCGGCCGCTGGAGCTTCTAGAAGCGTCCCTGTAGCATCCAAGGGTGTGGCTGAAGCTGCAAGGGGGATTCCTGGAAACTCCGGGAGAAGCGTTAGGGATCCAAGCAATGAATGGAAAGACGAGATTCTAGAGACGTCTTTAAAGTTGCTCCGGACGAAGCCGGTGAACCAATGCGTGGACTTCGTCGTGAGAGAATGCGAGCGCGTGGCGGATGATAGTGCCAAGTCATCACTCAGTGATCCTGCCATGTCATCACTGAGCGAGCCTGCCACGTCATCCCACGGCCAGCCGGCCTCATCTCCCCGCGCAGCAGTGTTGAACGTCCTGTCTCAATGCCTCAGGAAACTTATTCAATCGAGTCAGCTTAAAACGGCGGATTTGCTGCTCCTCGCACTGTCTCAACGACAGTCTGGGGACGGGCCTAGCAAGAACTCAGCAGATGGGGAAAGCAGGGGGTTCATGGGTCGAGCGGTGAAGTGGGAGGAGGTGGTGGGGAGCGTGGCAGCGCGGCGAGACGTGCGACTGGCAGTGCTGCACGCGCTGAGAAGGAAGCGGGTGGACGAGGCAGTCGATCTGCTCTGCTCTCTCTCAGGTACCCCACTCTCTTTTCCTGGTTTATATAGATCTAAGTGCGAGACGTGCGACTGGCAGTGCTGCACGCGCTGAGGCGGAAGCGGGTGGACGAGGCTGTCGATCTGCTCTGCTCCCTTGCAGGTAACACCACACCACTATCTACTGGTAGCTCACTATGATTCTGTGAGCCGCCTCAATGACTAGACGTGCGAATGGCAGTGCTGCAGGCGCTGAGACGGAAGCGGGTGGACGAGGCAGTCGATCTGCTCTGCTCTCTCTCAGGTACCCCACTCTCTTTTCCTGGTTTATATAGATCTAAGTGCGAGACGTGCGACTGGCAGTGCTGCACGCGCTGAGGCGGAAGCGGGTGGACGAGGCTGTCGATCTGCTCTGCTCCCTTGCAGGTAACACCACACCACTATCTACTGGTAGCTCACTATGATTCTGTGAGCCGCCTCAATGAATAGACGTGCGAATGGCAGTGCTGCACGCGCTGAGACGGAAGCGGGCGGAGGAAGCCGTTGATCTGCTCTGCACCCTCGCAGGTAGCTTGCTGTCTGCTGGTAGGTTAGACTACTATGTGTTTCTGATGTGCCTCAAGCACAGGTTGTGCGAATGGCAGTGCTGCACGCGCTGAGACGGAAGCGGGTGGAGGAAGCAGTTGATTTGCTCTGTTCCCTCGCAGGTAGCACCACTATTTGTTCAGCCCTGAACATTTTTAATGACTAGCAGGTTCTGCTTCCCTCTTGTCTTGTTTTTTCATCTCTCTGCTTCCTCACAATCCACTCGTTGGTTTCTCTGGAACCCAGTCATTGGGGTCTTTGCTTCAACCCCCTTCCCCCAAACCCCCACTCCCCGGGCTCCCCCTCCCCCCATTCCCCCCTGTGCGTGTCAACCCCCCACCTACCTACCCCCTCCAGGCTTGGGGCTATTCCCAAGGAAGTTAGCAGTGAGCGATCAGGTGTATCAAGCAAGCAAGCATGCATTGCCTATTGAGACGCCTTAAAAGCACCCCACACCCTGTGTGTAGGATCCCACCCCCCACCCCCCCTGTCTGTGTGTGTGTGTGTGTGTGTGTGTGTGTGTGTGTGTGTGTGTGTGTGTGTGTGAACCCTAACGCCCGCCCGTCTGTGCTCACCAGTGCTGGGGCTATCCCCAAGGAAGCTAGCAGTGAGCGACCAGGTGTATCAAGCATGCGTCGCCACCGCCAACCTGCCGCTCGTAATGCGGTGAGCTGAATCAGTCACGACTGGAGCTCAGGACTTTGCGTGCACAGACTTTTGAGGCGCCTCAAAAGGACTTGGCTTGCACAGAAATGCTTTAGTCAAGGAAGCTAGCAGTGCGCGTTCAGGGGTACCAAGCATGCATCGCTGCCTCCAACCTGCCCCTTGTCATGCGGTGAGGTGAACTAGCATCGTTCACTGTCCGGGGTTCCGGGTTTAGGGTTAGAGGGGGGTTTGGTGCTGTAGTGAGCTTGATAGTTTGCAGCTCATGGTTCAGAAATTGTCGAGTTTTCCGCCTGTAGACTTGGTGTTTTGCCTTCCAGGGTTCAGGGCTTAAGGTCAGGGGTTTGGAGCATGCATTGAATTGGATGGTCTATTATCCAGGGTTCAGGGCTTAAGGTCAAGGGTTTGGTTTGGTGCATGGTGCATTGAATTGGATGGTCTATTATCCAGGGTTCAGGGCTTAAGGTCAAGGGTTTGGTTTGGTGCATGGTGCATTGAATTGGATGGTCTATTATCCAGGGTTCAGGGCTCTGTCAGGTTTACAGGTGGGAGTGTGCCGAGCAGGCATGTGTTGCGCATGGCATACAGCTGGCCTCACAGCTTCCAAGGTTCAGTCATTTCTGCTATCCTCGCACACTCTTCATTTTGGCCCTCTTGCTGCTTTCCCTGCTCCCAGCATCATCATTCACCTTCCTTCTGCAAGCGCAGTGGACTACAAGAGGGCCATCAAGGAGTGTGCCAGGCAGTGCAAGCTACAACTCCTTGATGGCCCTGTTGCACTGGCCCAGGGCCCTGACACTCTTCCACGCGCTCACTCTTCCTTTCCCCCTCTCATTGCTTCCCCTGCTCCCAGCCTCATCGCCCACCTGCCTACTGCAAGCTCGGTGGATTACAACAAGGCCCTCAAGGAGTGTGCCAGGCAGGGCAGGCTTTCGCCCCTTTCAGACTGCCAACTCACCCACTGTCCTGTTCCTCCTTCTCCCATCGCAGCTTCATCCTTCAACTGCCATCTGCAAGCTCGGTGGATTACAACAAGGCCCTCAAGGAGTGTGCCAGGCAGGGCAGGCTTTCGCCCCTTTCAGACTGCCAACTCACCCACTGTCCTGTTCCTCCTTCTCCCATCGCAGCTTCATCCTTCACCTGCCATCTGCAAGCTCGGTGGATTACAACAAGGCCCTCAAGTAGTGTGCCAGGCAGGGCAGGCTTTCGCCCCTTTCAGACTGCCAACTCACCCACTGTCCTGTTCCTCCTTCTCCCATCGCAGCTTCATCCTTCACCTGCCATCTGCAAGCTCGGTGGATTACAACAAGGCCCTCAAGGAGTGTGCCAGGCAGGGCAGGCTTTCGCCCCTTTCAGACTGCCAACTCACCCACTGTCCTGTTCCTCCTCCCATCGCAGCTTCATCCTTCACCTGCCATCTGCAAGCTCGGTGGATTACAACAAGGCCCTCAAGGAGTGTGCCAGGCAGGGGAAGCTACAACTAGCCCTGACTCTCTTCCACGCACTCAGAAGGGGGTGCAGAGCAGGAGGAAGTGGGGGTGGTGATAGCAGCAGCAGCAGCAGCAGCAGCAGCAGCAGCAGCAGCAGCAGCAGCAGCAGTGGTACCAGGAAGTCAGCTGGAGAAGATTTGTTGCCACCTCCTGGCGTTTCACCTGAGGTTTCTCCTGAGGGGGGCGCGTTACCTGAAATAGCACATGGAGTGGCACCTGATATGTTCACGTACCGCTCCATGATGGATGCTTGTGCCGCTTGCGGAGCCGGCACTACGGCCTCTGAAATACTCCAGGTGAGTCATCCAGCCAGGTGGTTACGCGCTGGTTGCTCACTCGTGCGCCTACACGTAGCTGCTCTGACTGACATGTTCTCTGATGAAAGGCTACCATCAGGGAGCTAAGGACAGGTAGATAGCTGCAAGCTCTAGTGCCGATTAGGAAGAACAAACTATAGATCTAAGCTAGACATGTTCCCTGATGGAAGGCCACCACCAGGGACAGGGAGCTCGTCAAGTTAAGGGCGGGTAAATAGCTGCAAGCTCTAATGCCGACTAGGAAGAACAAACTATAGATCTAAGCTAGACATGTTCTCTGATGAAAGGCTACCATCAGGGAGCTCGTCAAGTCAAGGATGGATAGATGGCTGCAAGCTTTAATCCCGACTAGGAAGAACAAATTATAGATCTAAGCTAGACATGTTCCCTGATGGAAGGCCACCACCAGGGAGGGAGCTCGTGGCACACCGCTCCCTGATAAACGTGCTCTCTCTTGTTCCCCTTGCTCCTACTCACTCCCTTTGCTCCCTTCCAGGCTATGGTGGAGGAGGACGGGGTGGTACCCAACACGTACGTGGTCAACAGTGCACTCAACGCTTGTACTGTCTTTTGTTCTGGTTCCCTTACTCGCCTTCCCCTCTCCTCGTCCCTTCCCATCGCCCTCACCTTGTACCACCAGGCTATGGTGGAAGAGGATGGGGTGGTACCCAACACATACGTGGTCAACAGCGCACTCAACGCTTGTACTGTCTTTGGCTCCCGTTCCCTCCCTCTTCCTGCCCTTTCCCCTCAGCTGTTCTTCACTCGCCCTTGGTATACCAGGCTATGGTGGAGGAGGACGGGGTGGTGCCTAACACCTACGTGGTCAACAGTGCTCTCAACACTTGTTTGCTCCCCTTCCTTCCTCTTCCTTCCCCTCACTATGGTTCCCCTCACTATGGTTCCCCTCACTATGGTTCCCCTCACTATGGTTCCCCACGCTATGGTGGAGGAGGACGGGGTGGTACCAAACACGTACGTGGTCAACAGTGCACTCAACACTTGCATCAGCACTTTCTCTCTGCTTCCCCTTCCCCCCCACCCTCTCTCCCCATCCCCCCCCTATTGTATACCAGGCTATGGTGGAGGAGGACGGGGTGGTACCCAACACCTACGTGGTCAACAGTGCACTCAACGCGTGCATCAGTGACTGGGATGCCACGTGGTCGCTCTGGTTCCGCATGGAGGTGAGCTGGCAATGCTGAGCTGGCAGTGCTGAGCTGGCAGTGCGCAGGCGACAAGTCAATTTCTCACGAAGAGTGTGCACTCGAAATCTCGTTCATCCTCCACGTTCATCTTTGCCTCTTCTCTGCCAATCAGCTGTTGTGTTCTTTCTTTGAGGCGCCTAAAAAAAAACTCTTCTCTCCCAATCAGCTGTTGTGCTGTATTCGTTCTCTGAGGAATCTCAAGAAACGCTAATTCTCCGTTCCCTCCTCCTCTCTGTGCCCCCTTGCCCGTCCCTCCCAACCAGTGCTTTTGGAGTAGTATCCGTCCTTCCCCCACCGCACCACCTTCACTTCTATATCTCCCTTGTCGCTCTTCTCTTGCCATTCTGCCACCCACCCCCTTTCCCATCTCTGCCAAACTGCGCTTTCGGGAATCGACCCCCCTCACCACCTTCACCATGCTTCGCAAGCCCTCTCGTTCACAGTCCGGGCTATTCCCCTCGCCGTTCTTCTCTTTCCGTTCTGCCATCCCCTTTTGAGTCGACTAAAAAGTCTTCTCTTTCTGTTCTGCCATCCCCTTTTGAGTCGACTCAAAAGTCTTCTCTTTCTGTTCTGCCATCCCCTTTTGAGTCGACTCAAAAGTCTTCTCTTTCTGTTCTGCCATCCCCTTTTGAGTCGACTCAAAAGTCTTCTCTTTCTGTTCTGCCATCCCCTTTTGAGTCGACTCAAAAGTCTTCTCTTTCTGTTCTGCCATCCCCTTTTGAGTCGACTCAAAAGTCTTCTCTTTCTGTTCTGCCATCCCCTTTTGAGTCGACTCAAAAGTCTTCTCTTTCTGTTCTGCCATCCCCTTTTGAGTCGACTCAAAAGTCTTCTCTTTCTGTTCTGCCATCACCTTTTGCACCTCCCTACCAGCGCCTCGGTGTGCAACCCGACGCCACCACCTTCAACACGCTGCTTAAGGCCTGCGCTGCCCACTGCCGCCCGGATGCCGCCCAGCTGCTGTACGAGCAGCTGAGGGCGCTGGAGGAGCGAGAAGAAAGGGCTGGGAACAACCACAGCAGCAGCCAGCACACCAGCAGCCAACACAGCAGCAGCAAGAACAGCAGTAATCATGCCAGCGAGAACAGCAGTGCCAGCAGCAGCAGGGACAACAGCAGCACCAGTGACAGCAGCAGCAGCAGCGACAGCAGAAGCAGCAGCAGCAGCAGCAGTCGCCCCAGGTACCTAGACGTGTACACATACAGCACAGTCATCCAGATCCTCGCGCAGGCTGGCCGCTTCCAAGCCGCCTTCGCCGTGAAATCCGACATGGACCAATCAGGCGTGCGCGCCAACGTGGTGACGTGGACGTCTCTGATTGGTGTGTGCGCGCACGCGGGATTTGTGGACCACGCGTTTAGGGTTTTTGACGAGATGGTAGGTTCGGGATGTGAGGCGACCACTGCTGTGTATAACCTGATGATTGACATGTGCGCCGAAGCTGGGCTGGAGGATCGGGCGGTGGGGTTGCTTCGGGAGATGCAGGCTGGGGGGAGGAAGGGGGGGATGAGGGTGGGGGAGGAGAGGGGGGATGAGGAGGGTGGAGTGGAGCAAGGGGTTTCAGTTGCTGCATCGTCTCCTGTCTCCTCCTCCTCCACCTCCTCCTCCTCCTCCTCCTCCTCCTCCTCCTCCTCCTCCTCCTCCTCCTCCTCCTTCTCCTCCTCCTCCCCCTCCCCCTCCTCTCCCCCCTCCTCCTCATGCGCCCCCGATATAATCACATTCAACACAGTCATCAAGGCGTGCACAGGGAGTCCCCAGCGCGCGCGGGCGTTTGTGGGGGAGATGAGAGCGGCGGGGATACAGCCGAACGAGCGCACGTGGGTGGCACTGCTGGATTGCCACGGGACGAATGCTGATACCACTGCTGCTGTGCAGGTGGGTGTGGGCACTGGGGGGCGATGCTGCTGTCTAGGTGGGTGTGCGGGCGTTTGTGGGGGAGAAGAAAGCAGCGGGGATAGCGCCGAACGAGCGCACGTGGGTGGCACTGCTGGATTGTCACGGGACCAATGCGGTTATCACTGCTGCTGTGCAGGTGGGTGTGGGTACTACTGGGGGGCGATGCTGCTGTCTAGGTGGGTGTGCGGGCGTTTGTGGGGGAGATGCGAGCAGCGGGGATAGCGCCGAACGAGCGCACGTGGGTGGCACTCTTGGATTGCCACGGGACCAACGCTGATACCACCGCTGCTGTGCAGGTGGCTGTGTGAGAGAGAGTGTGTGTGTTTGTGTGGGATGAAATGGGTGGGGGGGGAAGGGAGAATCCCAATGCTGCTGTTCAGGTGTGTGTTCGGGCAGGGGGCATTGGGACAAGGGTGTGTGTGAGTGTGTGTGTTTACACTAAGAAACGAGAGTCCAAGGTTGAATCAGCTAGCTGAAGCTGAAATAAATTAATAATTAAATGAAAGAAGAAGATCAAACATTTAAACTGCAGCAACAATTTCCCCTCCCCTCCCCTCCTTCAAAAATCCGTCAGGCATTTCGAGACATGCAAGCAGCAGGGTTCAAGGCAGATGTGCTGTTTACTGGCGCCACTTAAGTTGACTTTAAATTTCCCTCCCCTCTCCATTCCCTCTCTTCCCCCAAACACCCACCAGGAGTTTCAAGACATGTAAGCAGCAGGGTTCAAGGCGGACGTAGTGGCATACACTGCTGCTTTTGAGGCGCCTCAAAAGTGGGTTCAAGGCGGATGTTGTGCCATGCACTGCTGTTATCAAGGTGCGGGTCATCAATTCTCCCCCCTCTCCCCTCCTACTCTTTTCCCTCCCTCCTCTCCTCCCCCTTGCCTCCTCCTCCCCTCCTCCCCCTCCCCCGGCCAGGCGTTTCAAGACATGAAAGCAGCAGGGTTCAAGGCGGATGTGCTGTTTACTGGCGCCACTTAAGGTGACTTTAAATTTCCCTCCCCTCCCCATTCCCTCTCTTCCCCCAAACACCCACCAGGCGTTTCAAGACATGCAAGCAGCAGGGTTCAAGGCGGACGTAGTGGCATACACTGCTGTCATCAAGGTACGCTGAGCTCATGATTTGAATTCACTTGGGCATACACTGCTCATGTGGTGGCATTGAGTTTATTACTTTAGTCGTTTTGTGCTGGATATGGTGGCATACACTCCTGTCATCAAGGTGCGGTTTTGAGATGTCTCAAAACTTCACCTTTATCACGTGAGCTGGATATGGTGGCATACACTGCTGTCATCAAGGTGCGCTCAACTCATTTGACTTTTACCTTTTTGGGGGGACATGGTGCGCAGCGCACCTGACCTGGTGGCATACAACAGGTCAGGTCTGATTTGATAATATTTCCCACAAGTTATCAAGTTGCATTCAGCTCTCAACATTAGAATCAGTTCTTAATGAGCCGACTCACAAGCGAGGTTACCCGACTTCGCAGTCGATTATCTGTTTCGGAGACATCTCCAGTCCAGACTTGTGTGTCCAAGTCACCTAACACGTATCTTCACTCCTTGCAGGCGTGCATTCGCGGAGGAGACTGGGACCGTGCGTTTGGCTTCTATGACAGAATGAAGGCTGAGGGAGTCAGGCCCAACCTGGTAAGGAGCGCTGAACCCCAATGGGAATCATTCAAGGCATTGTTTAGGCGCCTCAAAAGTCGTCTGCATTTGGGGGGCTGGGGACTGGGACGGTGCGTTTGGCTTGTATGTTCGAATGAAGGCGGAGGGAGTCAGGCCCAACCTGGTGAGAAAAGCAGCATTCAGCCGAGGTGGAGAGCGAAAGATGAGTATCGAGAGTCGTCAATGCAGCAGTGATTGTCAGCCAATATCGAAATGAAGGCCTAGTGTGTTGGCCCGTGATGAGGTTGTGAGTTCACCCTTTTCTTTTGCTCTCCTCATCTCACCTGCCCTCCTCGTCTTCCGCCTATTTTTCTTTCAACCCATTTTTCTTTCCCCAATTTTTTTTTTTTCACTTTTCTTTCCACCCCTTTTTCGTTCCTGCATTTTTCTTTGCCCCTTTTTCTTCGCCCCCTTCTTCCTTCCCTTAACAGGTCACATTCAACACTCTCCTTCGCCTTCGCTTGCAAGCCGACACTCTCCCACCCTCCTCCTCCTCCTCCTCCTCCTCCTCCTCCTCCTCCTCCTCCTCCTCCTCCTCCTCCTCCTCCTCCTCCCCCCCCCCCTCTTCCCCCTATCCCTCCTCCCAATTCCCCCCCTCGCCTCTCCCTTCCTCCTCCCGAATTCCGCGCCTGACTGCCATTGGCGCATCAGCAGCAGCCAATCAGAGGCGCATTCAGCGGCTGCTGCTGGTGTATGAGGAGATGAGGCAGGCGGGGTGAGTGGGGGGTGAGTGGGGGAGGGGAGTGGGGGGGCAGGGGGGGGGGGGGGGTCTGGGGTGCTTCTTGTGTGCCACATTGCGTCTTGGATATAGTCGCCCTGCTGCTTCTGCAATCAGAGGCGCATTCAATGGCTGCTGCTGGTGTATGAGGAGATGAGGCAGGCGGGGTGAGTGGGCAAGGGGGGGGTGGGGGAATGGGAGTGCAAAGGTTGTGTGTGGGAATACGTCCTGTGTCTTTTGAGACGTCTCAAAAATGGGAGTGCAAAGGTTGTGTGTGGGAATACGTCCTGTGTCTTTTGAGACGTCTCAAAAATGGGAGTGCAAAGGTTGTGTGTGGGAATACGTCCTGTGTCTTTTGAGACGTCTCAAAAATGGGAGTGCAAAGGTTGTGTGTGGGAATACTTCCTGTGTGCGTCGTTGCTTCTTGAAGTAAGTTGGTGGTTTTGGTGCTGCTTATCCAATCAGAGGCGCATTCAGCGGCTGCTGCTGGTGTATGAGGAGATGAGGCAGGCGGGGTGAGTGGGGGGGCAGTGTATGGGAGGGGGGAGGGGGGCGGCGGGAGTGGGAGTAACAGGTTTCTCAAAGGTGGTGTATGAGGAGAAGCAGCAGGCGGGGTGAGTGGGGGGGCAGGCAGACTGAGAGCATGGGAGTTGAATGTTGGGAAATGGGAGTATGGGCATGGGGCGTGGGGCATGGGGAAGGTGGATGGGCCATGGGAGTGAGTGCATGGGGCATGGGAGCGGGCTAGGAATTATGCTAGAGGCACCAAGAATTTTACCTAAACCCTAATGATACTCACCCCCTCGATCCTCGCTCCCCTCCCCTTCTCTCCAATGTCCCAGCTACTCGCCCAACGACTGTGTGCTCAAGAGCCTTCTGGGGGAGATGGCTGAAGTCCCACCTATTCCCTCATTCCCCCTTATCTCCCGCCCCCATTTCCCCCCAGCTACTCCCCCAACGACTATGTGCTCAAGAGCCTTCTGGGGGAGATGGCTGAAGGCGCTTTGGACCCTCCTCTCTCCTCCTTCCCCTCCTCCACCTTCCCCTCCCCCTCCTCAACCTTCTCCTCCTCAGCCTCTTTGACCTCGAATGCCCCCTCTTCTTCTCACCAAGCTAGGACAGCAGCAGGCATGGCAGGGGGGAGAGCAACTAGAGAAGAGAAGCTTGATGATTCTGCTGACGTTGGGAGCGGGTCAGATGGAAGAGTGGGAAGAGGAGGGGAGGGAGGAGAGGAGGAGGGTAGGATGGTTGAAGGCTTGACCAAGCTTGATCTCCACGGGCTCTCGCGGGTGGGATTTTTATAACCGTGTTCTTGTTCCTGCGATTGAGTCGACTCAAACCCGTGTTCTTGTTCCTGCGATTGTCCCTTGCCAGTGTGATCTATGTAACATACATTACCACTCTGATCCATTCACCCACCGCATCCTCCTCCACTGGACCCTGTTGCTTATCCCCCCTCACTGTCTCCCATCCCATCCCACCCCCCGCCACCCCTCCTTACCGCTCTCGATCCCCTTCTACCAACGCCAACCACTAACAGGCAGAGGCACGCACGGCAGTGCTGTCTGTGCTTCGCCTCCTCAAGGAGACCTTCCGGCGCTCAGGAGGTGAGTGAGCGCAGCACACAGTGCTACCCATCCATGCACTGCACAGCAGAGCACCGCACAGCAGAGCACACACTGGCAGTGCTCTCTGTGCTTCGCCTCCTCAAGGAGACCTTCCGGCGCTCAGGAGGTGAGTGGGCACATCGCATTGTGCTATTCATCCATGCACCGCACAGCACCGCACTGCACAGCGCTGCACCGCACAGCACACACTGGCAGTGCTGTCTGTGCTGCGCCTGCTCAAGGAGACCTTCCGGCGCTCAGGAGGTGAGCACAAGCACCGTTATATATGTATGTACATATACATATGTACCTAAATATATACGTACATATTAAGCATATAATATATATGTATACAGTTGCCACCTGGAGGTCATGATGCCTCAATGGTGCTCCCATGGGACTTGCCTCCCCTCCTCTAGTTGACCTGCCAGTGTCAGGGGGTGAGTGAGCATGCCATGTTAGTAACCCCCTGTACGTACCCCTTATTCATGCCCTTCAGGAACCCCTACACAAGACGACCTCGTTATAATCACAGGCACTGGCCGGCGCAGCTCAACGCCAGGCCACTCAGTGGTGCGAGAGGCAGTAACCCACATGTTACAAAACGAACTCGGGCTTCCCGTCATTTCCCCATCGCCTGTTTACAAAAGTGCAGCTACCGGGGCTGCCGGTAGTGGTAGTTATTTGTCGAGTCAATCCAGTTCATCGGAAGATGAGACAGAAGGGAGCGGTGGTGGTGTGCTTGGGCCCAAGAGGAACCCCGGGCGACTGGTTGTTCCCCGAGCAGCACTGAATGAATGGTTGCAAAAGAAGCGTGCATAGCCTAGGCATTGTGGTCTAGATGCTTGCGGCTGATTCCTCATGGTATAGATGAGAGTGGTACAAAAGTTGTAA